ACATCAGAAGCTCAAGACCAGCCTGACCGATATGATGAAACCCTTCTCTACTAAAAATACAAAACTTAGCCGGGCATGGTGGCAGGCACCTGTAGTCCCAGCTACTCAGGAGGCTGAGACAGGAGAATCGCTTGAACCTGGGAGGCAGAGGTTGCAGTGAGCCAAGATCCCGCCATTGCACTCCAGCCTGTAGGACAGAGTGAGAGTCTGTCTTGAAAAAAAGAAAGACACACAGGGTGGACCAGATGTCTCTAGGAGCCCTTCTGCCATAACACTAAGGATCTACCAGGACCTTGGTGCTTTCCTGAGAGGCCTCTGCTGACACCTACCTCAGCCCTATCTTCCCCAAGGGTAGGGCCACCCAGGCCAGGAAATCCCACCAAGTCTTCCCCCCATTCTGCCCTGTCCCACCCCAGACCCTGGGGCTGGACTTCATCCAGAACTACAGGCTCCAGCCCAGCTCCCCCTCTGAGGATCTGGACTTTTTCTTACCATAAAAGGGCAAGCGTGCCTCTCTTGGTCCCTGCTGCCAGCCCCGCTGGGGGAAAGACTGTGCTATTTTTAGAAAACTCAAGGGTTTGCTCCTGAATTCAGGATGGGGCATCTCTGCGCCTGCACCCTGGGAGCCCCTTCCCATCTTTCTTCCTCCTCCTTCTCCTCCCATCACTGTCTCCCTTCCCTTTCTCTTCCTCTCTGTCTTGTTCTCAGCCTCATCCATCCATCCCTCTCCCCTTTTCTCCCCCTGTGCTCCCACCTCAAATTGCTGTTCTCTCTTCCTTCCCCCTCACTTCTTCCTTCTCCCAAAATCTTTTCATAGTCAGCTTCCCTCCCCCACGTCTCTCCCTCAGATCTCATTTCTGGTGGTGAAAGAAAGTAACACAGCTGCACCCCCACCCCTTCTTAAACACTATTTACAACATAAATTCCAAACATCCGCCATCTGGTTCTAGGAAGGCCCAAAAGCTATTTGGAGAAGGAAGTCATGATTCCATCTTCAAAGCAAAAGGAACTTAAAGGCTGTCTTCTCTCCCACCTTCCTCCAGTGGCCCCTCTGTTTAATATCTGGCCAATCAAGATCCCCAGTGAGCAGAAGAGGTCAGGACGTTTGCCGGAGTCCCAGCTGGACCTGTGGCTGGCTGTATCACTTTTTGAGTTCCTTGCTTCCCCTCTGCATGCCTCAGTTTCCTCATCTGAACAATGGGTGAAAAACTAGAGTGCCTCCAGCACTAATGTTCCAAGACTTCGAGTCCAGAAAATCCACTTGGTCCAGGTCACTGGGGCCTACTTTGCACTGAGCAACGAAGGGTAGGATGAGGGCGAGGGAGTGGGAGGCAGTGAGGGAGCTCCATCCTCATCCCTTCGTGCACCAATTTCTCTCTCACTCCGTGGAGATCTATGCAGACCATTCACCTGCATTCACACCCATACTCACACTGGGGAATGGGGTGGGGTCAGACTACCCCTCCATGTCTGATCTAGAAGGACCCTGGACACTCCAGAGTCCAGTCCTGTCCCCACCACATCATGTAGCTGTGGCCCAGAGAGGGGAAGACCCTTGTCTGCAATTACACAGCATATCTACAGAAAATCTAGTATCTAGGCTGCTCCTCCTCCCACCCAACACATTCCAGAAGAAACCAACATTTGTATTATCTAGAAAGCATTGCCCAGTCCCAACAAAGCCCCTGGAACCCTGGAGGTCCCCGGTTTTTGCAAAGTTTACAGGACAAAGGGGGAATAATGCCTTTTTTTTTTTTTTAAGACCATCTCATTTGTCGCCCAGGCTGTCGTGCAGTGGGGGGATCTCCGCTCGCTGCAACTTCTGTCTTCCAGGTTCAAGCAATTCTCCTGCCTCAGCCTCTTGAGTAGCTGGGATTACAGGCACACACTGCCACGCCCAGCTAATTTTTATACTTTTAGTAGAGATGGGGTTTCACCATATTGCCTGGGCTGGTCTTGAACTCCTGACCTCAGGTGATTCACTCTCCTCAGCCTCCCAAAGTGTTAGGATTACAGATGGGAGCCACTGCAACTCACCGAGAACCAACACCTTTAACATGATGTGAATTTCTTTTAACAAACAGCATAGAAGGAAGAAATAACATGGGCAAGAGGCAGAACACCACCAAAAGGAGAAGCCCCCTTGCTTCCGGCAACAAATGGCTTTTCAGGGCTCAGATGGTATTCACATACTGACAATGCTTTCTCTGTTCACAAACCCCTCTCCACAAAGACTAACACACACCTAAATATTGCCAAGAGATATTGACTCCAGTTATCGCTCTGTAAAAATGAGATGATGAGGAGCTGGTCTTACAAGGGAGCTGTGAGAATGCATGTGGGGCTGCCTGGAGCCGGTCCTTACTAGCTGTGTAATCGGGAGGGAGTGCTGTGACCTCTGGAGCCTCAGTAAAGTGGAGGTAAGAATGGTACCTAATTATTCAAAACAAGGATCTCTGAGTAAACAAAAGAAAAATTTAAAGAATGGCACCTAATTCAGCCAGGCACAGTGGCTCACACCTGTAATATCAGTGCTTCGGGAGGACAAGGCAGGAGGATCACTGGAAGCCAGGAGTTCAAGACTAGCCTGGGCAACATAGCAAGACTCCATCTCTACAATAAATTAAAAAATAAAAAATTAGTCGGGCATGGTGGCATGTGCCCGTGGTCCCAGCTACTCAGGACGCTGAGGTGGGAGGATCGCTTGAGCCAGGAGCTCAAGATTACAGTGAGCTGATTGTGCCACTGCACTCAAGTCTAGGCAACAGGTATTGCCTTGGAAAGCAAGATCCTGGAGAGTGAGAAAAAAAAATTTAATGGTACCTAACTCATAAGTTACTTTGAGGATCAGATGAGAAGAGCCTTGGCAATTGTAAAATAAAGCACTTGGCAAATGTGGGGTGCATCAGAAGCACCCAATGACATGTTAGCTATCATTATGATTACAGCGTGTCCCAACGTGCCTGGTGCACAGTCAGCCCGACAGGTGATAGCTCTTACCTTCATCACTCTTTTCTCAGTTTCTGCCCTCACTAACGGGCCAAGTGACAGGGATTCACAGGGATCCTGGTGTCTATCCCCCACGTGCCCCACAGCGTGAGCGCTCGAGGCAAGGCTTGGGATTCTAGGCTGGGCAGGTCTTTTTTTTTTCCCCCTCTCTTCCCTTTTCCCTGCAATGCTCTTGTTTCAGCTTCAAACTGCGTTCCCAGGGCTTGCTCAAAACTCCCCGGAGCAACCCACCCTGGGGAGGAAGTGGGGAGCGTGTGAGGCTGGTGAACTCGGCTGGGGTGTCAAGGGGGCTGGAGGGCACTCTGGGAACAGAGGCCCCGGGAAGCTGTGTGACAAAGGGGACATGGAAAGGGCCACGCAGGGGCTCCCACAGCTTCCCCAGATGCCTCTTCTGACCTTTGCTCTCTCCCGGCTTCTGCTCTTCCTCCCAAGGCTGGGCTTCACTGCGGCCCAGCGCCATGCTAATAATAGAAATGGCAGCCATTTATCGTGGACTTACGATGTGCCTGGAAATATGCTCGAACTTGACATCTGCCTCATATGACCTTCACAAACAGGCCTGTGAGGTCGGAAACAGGCTCAGAGAGGTGAAGACACCGGCTTTAGATCACACGGCTAGGAATTGCTAGAGGCAAGATTCAAATGTGGTTTCTGCATGACTGCAAGACCTGTATCTTTTCTTTCCAGAAAAGATATGGTGGAAACTCTAGGGCCCTGGAGCCCAAGGAGAGCAAGGGCTATAACAATGACACAGGTGTGAGCAAGTTGAGGATGGGGAACAGTGGGCAAAGAGGTCCCTGCAGAAAGAGCCGGGTGTGAGCACGGGTTTGTAAGCTTGCCTGGAGCCCCTGCCTCAGCCCTCTCCCCACTGACATGCCATCCGACTCCCAGATGTGGCCCATTCCCAGACCCTCATGTTTCTTGGAAATGAGCAAGGCCAGGAAAGGGCACAGGGGCTTTTGCAATGACCATGGCGATGATAGCTTTGACTTGCGGTCATCCAGCCAGCCACTGCCCATGCCCAGAAGAAAGCTGCATTGAGCATGAAGAGCTTGTGTTCAAGTCTGCCTCTCATGCTGTTCCCCAGGGCCCTGGGCAAATGCCGCAGGCTCCTGGAACTTCAGAAAGCAGAATTATTCCTACCTCTGGTGCTATCAGTGAGCGTGCCTTGAGTCATGGGAGGGAGCGTTTTGCAGGCTGGAAGCTTTGTGTACGTGGAAAGGGTCAAAGACAGTCACGAGCCTGTCCCTTTGGTCTTGGTCATCATGTTAACCCCAGATTTTGATTTAGCCCTACATGACTCCTTTCTCATGTGTGAGGCTGAGGTGGGGGCATTGGTCAGAGGGGCCTCTGGGAAATTTCTTTCAGGACAGTTCTTTTGTTAAGGGGCCTAGGTGTGTTGAGAAGGGAAGGTGGCCCCTCCTACTCTTGGAGCTTGGACTTTCTCAGAAGCTCTCCCTTAAAAGCCAGGCAGGGCCGGGCGCGGTGGCTCACACCTGTAATCCCAGCACTTTGGGAGGCTGAGGCAGGCAGATCACTAAGTCAGAAGATCAAGACCTGTGTGACCAACATGGTGAACCCCATCTCTACTAAAAATACAAACATTAGCCGGGCATGTAATCCCAGCTATTCAGGAGGCTGAGGGAGGAGAATTGCTTGAACCCAGGAGGCAGAGGTTGCAGTGAGCCGAGGCCACTGCACTCAGCCTGGGTGATGGAGCAAGACTCCGTCTCACAA